GAAATGGAAGGAAAGCTTCCAAACTCATTCTATGGAGCCAGCATTACCCTGATTCCAAAACCAGACAAAGACCCACTAAAAGGGAGAATTATAGGCCAATATCCTTGATAAATCTGGATGCAAAAATTCCTAACAAGATACATGGACTAGCAAATAGAATTCAACAATACGTTAAAAGAATTATTAACCATGATCATCTGGAATTTATTCCTGTTCTGCAGAGCTGGTTCAATATGCCATATTGGTTTATTAACAAAAGGAAAGAACTATATGATTCTCTATAGATGCAGAAAAAGCATTTGACAAAACCCAGCATCCTTTCTTGATAAAGACCTTCAAGAAAGTAGAGATAGAAGGAACATAACTCAACATCATAAAAGGCATATATGAAAGGCCCATCACTAATATCATCCTTAATGGGGAAAAACTGAGAGCTTCATCCCTAAAGTCAGGAACACAATAGGGATGTCCACTCTCACACTGTTGTTCAATATAGTACTAGAAGTCCTAGCCTCAGCAATCAGACAACAAAAAGAAATAAAACAGCATCCAAACTGACAAAGAAGTCAAAACTTTCACTCTTCACAGATAACATGATACTCTACATAGAAAATGGCAAAGGCTCGACCAAAAAACTGCCAGAACTGATACGTGAATTCAGCAAAGTCACAGGATATAAAATCAATGTACAGAAATCGGTTACATTTCTATATACCAATAATGAAGCAGCAGAAAGAGAAATCAAGGAATCGACCTCATTCATAACTGTACCAAAAAACCATAAAATACCTAGGAATAAGCCTAGCCAAAGAGGTAAAAGATCTGTACACTAAAAACTATACAAAGCTTATGAAAGAAATTGAAGACACAAAGAAATGAAAAAAGATTCCCTGTTTATGAACTGAAAGAACAAATATTGTTAAAATGCCTATCTATACTACCCAAAGCAATCTAACACATTCAATGCAATCCCTATCAAACACATTCTTCACAGAGCGAGAACAAACAATCCTAAAATTTGTCTGGACCCATGAAAGACCCCGAATAACCAAAGCAATCCTGAAAAAGAAAACCAGAGCTGGAGGCATCAAAATTCCAGACTTCAAGATGTATTACAGGGGCACCCGAGTGGCTCAGTGGGCTAGGCGACCGACTTCGCTCAGGTCATGATCTCGCAGTCCGTGAGTTCCAGCCCTGCATCAGGCTCTGTGCTGAAAGCTCAGAACCTGGAGCCTACTTTGGATTCTATGTCTCCCTCTCTCTCTGCCCTCTACTGTTCACTTTCTGTCTCTCTCTCTCAAAATTAAATAAATATTAAAAAAAAATTTTTTTAAGATGTATTACAAAGCTGTAATCAAGATAGTATGGTACTGGCACAAAAACAGACACATAGATCAATGGAACAGAATAGAGAATCCAGAAATTGACCCACAAATGTATGGCCAACTAATCTTGAACAAAGGAGGAAAGACTATCCAATGGGGGGCGGAGGGGGGAGGGGAACCAGTCTCATCAGTAAATGGTGCTGGGAAAACTGGACAGCGACATGCAGAAGAATGAAACCAGACCACTTTCTTACAACATACACAAAAATAAATTCAAAATGGATGAAAGACCTAACTGTGAGACAGGACACCATCAAAATCCTACAGGAGAAAACAGGCAGCAATCTCTTTGACCTAGGCTACAGCAACTTCTTGACATGTCTCCGGAGGCAAGGGAAATAAAAGCGAAAATGAACTATTAGGACCTCATCAAGATAAAAAGGTTCTGTATAATAAAGGAAACAATCAGCAAAACTAAAAGGTAACCAATGGGATGGGAAAAGATACGTGCAAATGACATATCAGATAAAAGGTTAGTATCCAAAATCTATAAAGAACTTATCGAATTCCACACTCGAAAAGCAAATAACCCAGTGAAGAAATGGGAAGAAGACATGAATAGACACGTTTCCAAAGAAGACATCCAGATGGCCAACAGACACATGAAAAGATGCTCAACACCACTCACCAGCAGGGAAATACAAAATCAAAACCACAAGGAGATACCACCTCATACCTGTCAGAATGGGTAAAATTAACAACTCAGGAAATAACAGATGTTGGTGAGGGTGCAGAGGAAAGGGAACCCTCTTGCACTGTTGGTAGGAATGCACACTGGTGCAGCCACTCTGGAAAACAGCATGGAGGTTCCTCAAAGAGTTAAAAATAGAACTATCCTATGATTCAGCAATTGCACTAGTACGTATTTACTGGAAGGATACAAAAGTGCTGATTTGAAGGGGCACATGCACCTCAGTGTTTATAGCAGCACAATCAACAACAGCCAAATTATGTCCATTGACTGATGGATGGATAAGAAGATGAAAAGCACCCAAATGTCCACTGAGTGATAAATGGATAAAGAAGATGTGGGCATGTATACAATGAAATACTTGGTGATAAAAAAGAGTGAAATCTTGCCATTTTCAACAACACAGATGGAACTAGAGTATATTATGGTAAGCAAAATAAGTTAGAGAAAGACAAATATCATATGATTTCACTCATATGTTTAATTTGAGAAACTCAACAGAGGAACATTATGGGAAGGGAAGGAAAATGAGATAAAAACAGAGATGGTGGCAAACCATAAGAGACTCTTAAATATAGAGAACTGAGGGTTGCTGCAGGGCAAGGTGGGTAGGGGATGGGCTAAATGGGTGATGGGCATAAAGGAGGGCACTTGTCTGGATGAGCACTGGGTGTTATATGAAAGTGATGAATCACGGGGTTTTACTCCTGAAACCAATACTATAGTATATGTTAATTAACTTGAAGTTAAATAAATTAAATTTTTAAAAAAGATACAGGATATATAACTAACTGTTATATATCCTAAATGTTTATATAGCCTAAAATGTTTAAATAAATAAAAGTCATTATCACAAACATCAAGGGATTATTTGAAATTAACTGATGAAGTTAATATTAAATATTCAATTAACAAGTTAAGCATCAAATTACCATAAAAAGCCAAAGTTTTTAATCAGTGAACTAGAAGACATAGCAAAAGAAATTACCTGGAATGAAGCACAACAAGATGAGAAGGAAAATATGAAAAAAGATGTTAAGAGATTATGTAACACAATAAAGAAGCATAATATATGTTTAATTGGAGTCCCAGAATGAGAGAACAGAAAAAAATGAATTACTTGCAATGTTTTGGTAGGGAATGGCTATACATCTCCTAGAAATGATACAAAATTATGAATCAAAGACTCAGGAAACCTAAGATACCCCACCAGGATAAATATAAAGAAATATAAGCCTAGACACACTGTAGTTAAAATGTAGAACACCAAAGACAAAGAGGAAAGCTAAAAAGTAGCCAGGGAGCAAAGATGGGGGTAATGGAACATCTAACAAAAAAAAAAAAAAAAATCAAGAGTAACAGACTTTTGAACACCAATATAGAAGCCAGAGGAAAAATAATGGTGAATCAAAGACTTTGAAGCTTGCATAAGCTCTCTTTAAAACTGAGGCTAAAATAAATGTATTTACAACTAAGTAAAAACTGAAAGTCTTTCCAAAAGACCTCAACTAAAGGAACTTGTAATGGAAATACTTTAGGAAGAAAGAAGATGAGTCTGGTAACTCTAAAAAATGCAAGGAAATGGTAAATATCTTTGAAAAATCCACATAAACACTACTGATATAAAAGAATAACAACACTAATAATCTAATTTGAGTAATGTTTTTGAGAAAGAAGGAATTAAAAAATGGAACAGAATTACAGATTAAATATGATGACGGGTGAAAGACAGAAGCTACACTAAGTATGTTCTATGTCAAGTACCATACTTGACATAGTACTTCATACTCTTATATACAGAGATACCCATGTGGGTTAGCAACTAAGAATGTCATTAGAGATTTTTAACTCTAATAACAGTTTGCTTCTGGTACAATAAAGACATCTGACACTGACACCTTGATGACTTAATACTTCTTATTCCTGATTATTAATAGCTCAGATAGGGCTTATTCAAAAGCCAGACCACAGTACAGCATCTATGCAGAGAATAGTTTTACAAATGACTCCTGTGACTGAATATACATACTGTTAATTTTTTAAATTATAAAGTTTAACAATATAGTATTGTCCCAGAGACAGGCCAAGCTCCTCACAAGGGACCATGGAAGATTTTTTTCAAAATACATTTCATAAAGCATGACTAGCCTATTTTCTATCAGTCATGTTAACAAGTATGAGCCCAAGGTCTCATTTCACACCTATAACATTTAACCACTATCCCAACTAAACCTTTATAAAAACATAAGAAGCACCAAACACTAACTGGTACATAATTCACTGCTCCTTCATTCCCATTAATCTTCATTTTATCTTCTATGAAACTGGAAATGACAAGGAACAGTAAAATCAAAAAGAAATTTGGAGATAATCTGCTCCATGGTAATTAAAGATCAACCATTTAATCTCTCCCCATACTTAAAGGCAGTCCTGTTTACAATCTTAAGGAAGAAAAAATCACGTCGATTATTCAACATCCACTATGCTGCCTCATGGTCAGTTCAATGCTTTCCATCCCCAACCCTCACTTCCCTACCTCCACTTGGAGCAATTTTCAGAATGGGTACTCCTAGTTCCCTAGGTCCACACTAAAGAAGGGGCTCAGAGTCTTGTCACATTTTTTAGAAAGGCTATTACTTCTTTTCTAGAGATGTCTCTTCTTTTAGTCTCTGTGTCTGGTTATTTTTTTAAAAATCCCTTCATCTGTTTCACAAAATACAAGATAAAGATTAGTGTTTAGTGTCTATACCTGAGTACAAGGGGGAAAATTAGCCACGATGTTGCAATTACAAATATGTAAGTCACTAGCAATACAATGTTCCAGTTCTCATTCAAAGTTAAGAATCTTGATACTTTGCTACATCAACAGAAGAAAAATATTAAGCCTATAGAAAGATACTACTTCCTGTGCAAGAAATACTAACCTTACAAATCCCAAGCTTTATCTTGTTCCTGTTGGCATCCATCTCTTCCCAGACATCCTTCTCCTGGGGACGTGGGTGCCCCAAAGATCCAGGCAATTTATCTGGTGACACACCAACAGGGATGCCATTCTCCCCATCACTAAGCTGTTCATCTGGAAACACCTCATCTGTATTTTCTCGAAGCAAGTCTCCTGGGATGGGAGTGGCATTGGCAATTCTAAAAATGTGGAGTGAAAAAAAGGTAGAACTTAAAAACACCAGAACCAAAAGTTACTGTAAGACTATCCTACATTTTGTTTTTGGGCTTAAATAATGAAGTCTATACATAATTAAAAGAGTAATACACAAAACAAAACCAAAAACCTCAGAAACTTAGGCCCTGCCAGTTGTACAAAATAAAACTGCTTCTGATCAGTAAAATTTTCTGGCTGATCTAAAAACAGAAATGTTAACAATAACTCACTGATTTAACAATCACTTTACAGGTTAGAGATATTTGGTCTATTTTCTAATAAGTCCTTGTCAATTTTAGGGTTTTCTACTCTTTACCCATTTTTTTGGTTTAGAGAATAACAAAAACTATAAGCAGAAAAATACTGTCAAATAAGCAGGTATGCAACCATTATATTTTTTAATAGTGTAAAATGTACCTAGGCTTCTTCATTTACAGACTTTTTGCTAAGTATCTACTATATTGAAGGATGCAGGGAAATAAAGTGGAGAAAAGAAATTCTTTCCCCTCTGGGTGAAACTAGAAAATTCTGTAATTATACAGTTCTGCATGAACTGATCAGGAACAAAATAAAAAAATATTGACACTTGTCAATATATTCTTTCAAAGTAATTTCATGTCCTATTTATATGGCAGGTCATCTCTCCCTTAGATTTCTGGCCCACGAAGGGCTTTTCTAGTTCTTAGCTATCACTCATTAAGCTATCAGATCCTTGTCTGCTCTTATGTTCTAGAACTATGCTCTGTACACTAGTTTGTATTTTAATTTATTTTTTTTAAGTAGGCTTCACGCCCAGTATGGAACCCAATGTGGGGCTTGAACTCATGACCCTAAGATCCAGACCTGAGCCAAGATCAAGAGTCAGACGCTTAACCAATTGAGCCACCCAGGTACCCAGTTTGTTTTGTTTTGAAATACTGCCGAATGAACACAATATTTACCACACAGTGAAACCTTTTCTTAAAAGTGATGTAGAATGTCTAAAAATAGAAAAAAACAGTCTTCAGTCAACTAACTATACCAACACATACAATTATTATGAGTGATAAAATAGGCATCTTCTCAGTGAACCACTCCAACTGTGACTATGCCCTGGCCCAGGTGTCATCAATATGAAATGCTATGAGAACAAAGATCAGTCATTTCTCAGGGACTTGTTCCACCTAAGCTGACCTTCACTACCACCTCTCCTTACGAGGGCCAATAGGAGAAGATGAATCTCTTTATCAATATGTTATAGGTTTATAATTAGAAAACACTGATAATAGCTCCCAGGAAAAAAACCTTACAGGCCTGTAAAGTAGTTCTTATAGTTCTGACACTGGGAACATACTGAAAAAAGTAGTTTGGCCTAAAATAGCTCATATGAAAGTACTTATGATAAAAATAAAGTTCAAAAGTAAATAAAGTTCATAAATTGACTACTAAAAGATTTTTCAGATATAAGTTCAATATACTGATTGATGCTAGACATTACAACAGACACTAACATATATGTGCTATGTGGTAATCCAAATGTTTATTGAAAGAATTCCCTGTTTTCCCAAAGAAAGGGAATGGCAAAAGAATCAGTATTTGAATTCAGGTAGGTCAGTCTACTAGCCCCACAAATTTTTTCCCATTTTTAAATCACATAGTATTCTTCTAATCCTTTCTTCCCTATGCCTAGCTACTATTCTGCTTCTTTCCAACCACCCAATTCTTTTGGGATTCCTTCTCCACTCCTGAGGAAATAGAGCATACCTCTACCTACAAATTGCTTCTAATTTTATTCTATCCCAGTTTCCCTCTTCTCTCGTATGCTGTGGTCTAATTCCACACTTTGAGGGGTTCTCACATCTTCCCCCACATAGGGGAAGCCCACATGGGCTCTCTTGCACATGACTTAGGTTCCTCTCTGCATTTATTCCCCATTTTCAATCCTTACATAATTACTAGTTTCTTCATTCTCCTATAACTCTGATCCAAACCTAGAGTTTGAGATACAGAAAGAAATTCCTTCCCAGAAAAATTATATTACATTGAGGAGGTGAAGAGTACCAGAGTATATTATTAGCACATGGTGTGTGTTTGTGGGCAAGGTATAAATTACAGAAACAGATTAAGGGAAAAAAGGTAAGGATGTGTATGGAAGAAATGGACAGATGTCAAGAAAAGTACTAAGAAGAGACATCCTTTTCACACTTCCTTCCTCATAATCTAAGGCAGACGTAGGCCCACTAGGGCTGTGGGCCAAATCTGGCCTGTTCACATATTTTTGTCAATCAAGTGTTGTGGCACAGAGTCATGCTCATTCATTTACATATTGTATGTGGCTGCTTTAGCACTCTAAAGGCAGCAGTAGTGGTGACAGAGACAGCACAGCCCACAGATATTTATCTGGCCTTAATAGATAAGGTTTCATGAAAAAATCAGTATTTTAACTCAGAGGTCAGCAAATTCAGTCACTTCTTAAAGGGCCACATAAATGGTAGACCTGTAAGCATAATGCTTTTCAGGCAAGATTCACTGATGGATGCTAAAGCTTGTGGGACAAAGTATGGTGAAAAACAGATTTTTGGGGCACCTGGATGACTCTATGGGTTGAGTCCACTCTTCTTTATGCCCTTTATAATTTTCTCACTTATTCTTTAAAGTTTATTTTACTTATTTTGAGAGAGAGAGAGAAAGAGTGTGGGAAGGGCAGAAAGAAAGGGAGAGAGAGAGAATCCCAAGTAGGCTCTACTCTGCCAGTGTGGAGCCCAATGCGGGGCTCGAACTCACAGACCATGAGATCATGACCTGAGCTGAGATCAAGAGTCAGACACTTAATCGACTGAGCCACCCAGGTGCCTCTAATTTTTTCACTTCTAAGACACCTTTTTTCCATTTCTTTCCTGAGTTCAATCAACTCTCATTTCTTCCTTTGTCTTTCTTCACCTTTTCCTTTTTCTCCCATCCTCTTCTACTTTGTGGTTCTATTTTTGTTCTTTGTTTTTAAATTTCCAATTCAAGGTGATTATACCTATCTTCAAATATACAGGTATATTTACTTCCATTTGGAGTCTTAGAGTTTTCTTCTTCTTCATGGTTGCTTCTCTGAGAGGAAATTTCCTTAGTAATAATTAGATTTTCTCTCTGATTTTTTTCAATAACCCTTAACGGACCTTCAAAATCTCTCTCTTGTTCATTTTTGTGGTACTGGAGTAGTTCATGAGATTTTTAGTTTATTTGGTGCCTTCTTCTATCAATATAGCAAAGTCCAAACATGTTAGTGGATTTTTACTTGTTTTTATGGTCAGAGAGATACAGTATTCTGATTTTACAGTTTTCCTTTTCATAGTAAATTTTATTTCCCCTTTGCCCTTTTGCAATTATTGATGTACTGCTTTTAACTTAAAATTCAACTTTTCACCTGCTGTGTGAAAGTGGATCTGAGCCCTTGAAATATTTTCCTTTGCCAGCTGGCACTGGGGCTTGTGTCAGTAGAGGGCACTGGAGAGACACTGCAAGAAGAAAGTGTTCCATCAAGAGCTCCCGTGAGCAGCTTGGCAAGTCTCTTCAGTGTGTGTGGCTCTCCCCAGCACAAGGATCCTGCCACTTCCCAGCATCTTCAGCACCCATCTTCTGCAGCACAAAGAGCGTAGCAACCAGCAGCTTCCCTGAGCAATCCCCACTACCTAGCAGTTTTATGGCACAGTGTCCCTGGTGAGATATGTTAGCAAACAGCTTTCTCTGACGCCTGAGAAAACAGATTTCCATCAAGTTCCAGACGGCAGATTCTCAGCAAATTCTACCAGGCATCAGAGTGACTTCCTGGCCATTCAGTGACCAACAGACATACCCTCTCCAACAAGGTCAGGAGCTCAGCCCTGTGGTCAGGGCTGGGGGAAGACTTCCTTGGATGTTTCATCTCAGCACTAACAGTAGGAGCTACACTTTGTATTTGCTAGCCCTGTATTTTCTACTTCCTACTAGTCTATGCCACATTGTTCCAATTCTGTGTTATAGGTAATAACCCCTTGTATCATCTTTCCCTGCTCAAATTACTATGTAGTTTCTCTCTCCTCATCGGACCCTTTACCACTCAACTGATAAAAGTCTCCCTTCTGTTTTGTCTCTTTTCTTCTTTCTTTCTTCCAGAAGCTATGTATTTTGAATCATGCCTACTTTTACCTCCCCATAGTTCATTACCTTATCTACCTGGACACTTTCTGATAATTACATTTGTAGGATGGGTTCAGTTTTTCTGGTGCTGATTTAAAATCAACCTTAAGTCTTGCTAATTTTGCTCCTCCCCACAGTTTTTAGTGATCTGCCTTTATAAAGCCTGGAGGCAGAGTTGAGTGAGATAGGAGCATAAGAGAGTTGGCAGTTTTTTCTTTCTCTTTATTTATTTTGCAGTTTAAGCTAGGCATCTTTTGTCTTCAAATTATGTTGAGGACATGGTTGTGTGTAGTTTTATATTTTCTTTATTGTTATTCTGTCTTATTTTAGGAGGAAACATTGGGAGATGGGAACTTAAACTGCCTTCACTGACTTCAGCTACCCTGAAGTCCTATCACCTGGATTTTTGCAAGTTTGGGACTTATCTACTTCTAACAACAATCAAAGGAGGAGGACAAAGGCATTAAAACAAGAATCAAAATTTTTAGACTGGCTCCAGCTCTGTTGCTAATATTTACCTAAATTTGGATGACTGATTCAGTTAGTGTTGGGATTATATCCTCATTTGTAAAAGGAAGTGGCTGGACTAGGGTGGTGGGTTCTAAACTCAGAAAAGCAAGAGAAACATTCTGTGCCACACCCCTAGGACATTTTGATTCAGTAAGTCTGGGAAGACTCCTATGAATGGTACTTTAAACAAACATCTGTGATGATTCTAATGTAGCTAGTCAGGGTGCCCCACTTAAGAACTCTCAGACTAGCTAATCAAAGATAGCATCTCCAGGGGTGCCTGGGTGGCTCAGTCAGTTAAGTGTCTGACTTTGGCTCTGGTCATGATCTCACGGTCCATGGGTCCAAGCCCCATGTCGGACCCTGTGCTGACAGCTCAGAGCCTGGAGCCTGTTTCAGATTCTGCGTCTCCCTCTCTCTCTCTGACTCTCCCCTGCTCATGTTTTGTCTCTCTCTCTCTCTCAAAAAATAAATAAATAAATAAATAAACATTAGGGGGAAAAAAAGATATAATTTCCAGTTATATGAGTCCATGGAAGCTCTTCTGATTCAAAAAGCTCTGGTGACCCCATCTTTCAATATAAAATCAAAACAATGGATCAGTGAAAAACTATCGCAATTAGCTCCCTTTACATGATTATTTTTCCCTATATACTTTTCTCGTTGTTAACTAAATAGTTGAAAGCAACCAGAGCATGTAAAAATGGGTCAGGAAAAAAAAGGACAACCCCGCCACCCAATTTTAAAAATATCAAACAAAACCAACTGTATTTAATACACATAAAGGAGAAAACAAATAAAACAAAGATGATGAAAATACAGCATCAACTGTTCCTTATATACTTTGTAAATGAAATCACTTTCCTAAAGAGGAACAAGCTACAAATTTTGTTCACACTAAACTTAAGTACAGTACAGTTAGGTATAATTGTGGCTCATTCTTTCCAGGCTCCTATATATTCTTTAGAACTAAAATCAAACAATTCCTTCTCATTGTAAAGAATACCCATTGTCAATCTGACATCAACAAGTCATACCACCTCAAAGCTCCCAATTCACAGTATGACCTATAAATACTTTTTAAGAAAAGTAAATCTGAACAGACATGCATTAGAGTCATATTAATTCAAGGAGCTCCATAGGCTTTCTCCTATGTCTTAGCATTTTGTCATCTGAAGGGATATGGATGAAATAAAAGACATTTCTGCTAATATAGTGCACCCAAGAAAGCCATTGCTAAATAATCTGTTTAGGACATACCCAATTGCTGCAGGGGTCAGACGAGTATGCAATTGAGGGGTGGTAGAAGTAGTGGTGGTTGTTAGGGAGCCATCAGTTCCAGTCTTCTCCCAGTCAAAAGGATCACTCTCAATTACTCCAAAGGTCTTAATGCTGTTGTCAAAGACGGATGTCAGAAGCTAAACCATAAAGAAAAAAAAAAACTAGAGTAAGCTAACAATAAGCATCATTGCTTTACTCTTTGAGAAAGCTGCCAGACTCACAATTAATTTTGTAGTAAGATTAAAAAAAAAAAAACCAACAATGGTACAAATGGGGGAATTTGAATAAGGACTATATGTTGATGATTATATTGAATTAATACAGATTTTTCTCAATTGAGGTACAGGAAAATGTCTTTGTTTTTAGAAGATACATAATTAAGCATCTTATCTAAAATCTACTTTCAGTTTGGCAAAAGGACATTTGTGTTGTATGTACATACATATGTGTTTAGTTTTAACCATCAAGGTGTGATCATTTTTTGTCAAATGGGCATTTTTATATGCTGTGACTTAAGTGAACAGTTAACAGTTGGTATATCTAGGTATACGTTCATTGCACTTCCTTACAATTTTGGGGTGGGGCTGAAAAATTCTTCAGCTGTTTGTGGGTGTGGATATATATACACAAATTATCACAAAGAAATCTGCCTCTTTATTTGGTTTATATTATATATTTCAGTTTTTTGTCTTTAGTTTTTCAAGATTTTCTTTCTTTTTAATTTTTTAGTAGGCTCCATGCCAACCATGGAGCTCAATGTGAAGCTTGAAACTGCCACCCTGACATCAAGACCTGACCTGACAGGGCACCTGGGTGACTCAGTCAATTAAGTGTCCGACTTCAGCTCAGGTCATGATCTCACGGTTCATGGGTTTGAGCCCCGCATCAGGCTTTGTGCTGACAACTAGCTCAGAGCCTGGAGCCTGCTTCGGATTCTGTATCTCCCTCTCTCTCTGACCCTCCCCTGCTCATGCTGCCTCTCTCTCTCNAAAAAAAAAAAAAAAAAAAAAAAAGACCTGACCTGAGATCAAGAGTTGGATGCTTAACTGAATGAGCCACCCAGGTGTCCCTAGATTTTATTATTAAGTAATCTCTACAACTAACATGGGGCTCAAACTCACAACCCCAAGATCAAGAGTTGCATGATCTACCAACTGAACTAGCCAGGCACCCCTCATTTTTTTGTCTTTAGATTCCAAAACTCTGATGTGACCTAGAGATCTCACAAAGATCATCCTTTATTAGAGTCTGAGGATTGGGATACTGAAAGTTTTAGGGAGGAATAGGGTATATAGATACAAATTTGAGAGTCATTAGCATATAGACATGAAAAGGTATTATTTAAAGCCACTGGACTGGATGGTATCATCTAAGGAGAGTAGGTAGCAAGGGGTCAAAGGGGAAAGGCCTAGGGCACTCCAACATTTAGTTAGAAAGAAGACTCAGCAAAGGAAACCAAGAAGGAATAGTCAATGAGATAGGAAACCCAAGAGTGTGCTGTTTTTGATGCCTGCTGAAGAAAACATCTCAACAAGGTGACCAAAGGCTATCAAATATAGATTTATAGTTATTTCTGATTATTTAATTGGTTTCTCTCTTTCACCCAGACTGTAAGCTTGAAGAGGTTGGAGCATGTCTGATCTTGTTCATCACCAGTATCTAACACAATACCTTATATATGAGAGCAGTGTTGTGATTTATAAGATATGTCTGGTCAATCACATGACCAGAATATATTTCTTATATATATTTGGTCTTTGTCCATAGTTCCTAGCTCACAGCTCCCCAAACCCTTGAAATTTCCTGAGAGAAAAGAGCAATAAGAGCATCTTTTGTTACAATAATATTTGATCTATAGTCCTCAGCTCCTGAACATGAAATGACTGTCTTATTATTCATAACAACCCCCTTCCCACCACAACTGGGTTTTTGTTAATGAGGTGGCTTTTTGAAAGCTCTGTGGATAGGAACTGCCAATCATGTGATTAGATGTGTAACTTTCAGTCCTATCCCTTGGCCTCCAGGAAACAAGAGAGGGGCTAGAAGCTGAATCAATCAACAACAGTAAATGATTTAATCAATCATGCCTACATAATGATGTCTCCATAAAAACTAAAAAAGATGGGGGTTGGAGAGCTCTTTGGTTGGTAAACATAATGCAGGTGCTAAGAGAGTGGTGCCCTCAGAGAGGGCATGGAGGCCCCACACCTTTTCCTCATAGCTTGCTCTATGCATCTCTTCCTCTGGCTCTTTCGAAGTTAAATGCTTTGTAATATGCCAGTAATCTAGTGAGAAAACTGGTTTCCAAAGGCCTGTGAACTACTCTAGGAAGTTAACCAGGCCCAAGGAAGGGGTTGTAGGAACCTCTGGTTTATAGTCATAGGTCAGTCAGAAGTACATTTGACAACCAGGACTTGCGAATGGCATCTGAAGCGGAGGGCAGTCTTCTGGGACTGAGTCCTTAACCTGTGGAATCTGATGCCATCTATCTCTGGGTAGATAGTGTCAAAAGTGAGTTGCTACACATGGCCAGATTTCATTGTTTCTCATTGCCATGTAGTATTCCATGGTATAGATAAACCACATCTTCTTGATCCATTCATCTGTTGATGGACACTTAGGCTCTTTCCATGTTTTAGCTATTGTGGAGAGTGCTGCTATGAACATTGGGGT